TCTTAAGCAATCTTAGTGATTGTTTTTGAGCTTTTTACTTGGGATAGTCTTAGGATACAAGCTTTCCTGTAGCAGGCCTTTTCGTAGAGTTGAAGGGATATAAAATAAATGCTAATGATAACATGATTTGTGGCTACCACACTCATTTGGGAAACTGTGGCACCCACAACTGGATTACATTATGTGGGAGCTGTGAATATTTTGGCACTGTAATTCTTTCAGAATTTCATTTTAGGATTCCAAAATGATCGTGTTCATGTGAGATCTCGTGTATAAAGTGTGATTTGGCACTTAGTCTAATTTATACTTATTTCTCCAGTGTCCTTAAGATGCCTTTTTCTTAAGCCTTATTTGCACAAGTAATTTCAAGTCCAGTAGCATTTTTGCTTCAGTGCCTGATGTAGACATGAAACATCTGAATAAGCTGCAACTTGTTGTTGTACAGCTCTCCATGGGTTTTGTCTCTGCTATGTATTCTTTGCAATAAAGGACACAAAGTAGGACTTCCTAAAGTTCCTCACAACCATGCCAACCTCTAAAAAATGAGATACTCAAAAAATACTCTGGCTGTTTTCAGTGTTGTTTGCTGCATCTCGCCCACTGTTAGTTTTTAATCATTCTCATGAATGATTTACTGTTCCCTTCCTATCATGTTACTTTTTCACTGTTGCCTTCAGCAGACGAAAAGCTTTCAAAGGGTTCTTTAGGGCTTAATGTATTGTTTGTCCTAGATATTTGGCATGACTTATTCAGAAATGTGTAATAAATACACAGCTCCTCTCATTTCTGATTGTTTGCACAGCCAAAATATACCCTTGTACTAGCCCTTGTGAAAAAAATTAACTCTATCCCAGCTGAAACCAGCAAGATGTTTGACAGATTAATGGATGGCCAGATGATGGATGAATAGCCTCTTCTAGAAGGAGTTAGGAGGGGTGTGTGGGTGCAGGTGGGATCTCAAAGGTCATGTGTAAATATATGTGAGCTCACTCAAGTCTGTAGGGATGCAGCATTTTATTTCAGTGGATAAATATGCTGGTTTAACTCAGAGACCTTACTTCTGAGGCATTTTTCCTGGTACCTGCTTTGAGCACTTACCCCTGATTGTGGATATAATACTTCTGTCTCCAAAGATATATGCTTATAAAAGGTTAATTTTTGTAATCAGATATCCAGTTCTTTTGATTGGTTGAACCTAATGTGGCTAAAGAAAACCTTTACTTTCCCTGCTTGTTTGTGGTTGAACCTAATGTGGCTAAAGAAAACCTTTACTTTCCCTGCTTGTTTGTTTGGTTTTTTTTCTCTGGTGCACTGAGACAAGAAGTTCTGGTACAAGGGGTTTTGATAGTTTAGTCTATCTGCTGTGACTGTAAGTCTCTGTGTGGGTCTATGTGCTCTGAAGGATGTTTACTAGTAGACAGTTGATAAAACTTCTTTTTATTTTATAGATAATGAATTGTGAATCTCAGTGCCACTGCTGCTCCCACAGAGATTTGCAGTAAACAGCTGAGTCATACAGATAAAGCCTGAAATTTCTTCTCTCACAGATGTGATGGAATCCCACTGAGTTCCTTCGCAGAGAGCCCTGAGCTAGTGAGTTCTGCACCCTGAAAAACATTTGGGTGGGCAGGAGGGTGAACAGTTTGTCCCCTGCACCTCATCCAGCTCTGTGCTAACTCTGCTGCTCAGGAGGCATATGCTGGGATGTGTGCAGGCAGATTGCTCACAGCTCACTCACATCCTGGAGCAGCAGGGAATCAGGAAAAGTAGTGGTGGGCTGCCTGCTGGCCAGGTTGCTTGAGAGTCAGCACAAATCTGCTAAAGAGTGAGCCACTCAGGACTTTTTTTACCCTAGCAGAGGTCTTAAAGGCAGCTCTGTAGCTGACTTTGGGTTGTGGCAGATTCACCTGAGTTTTGCCTGTTTACCTATCATGCTCCAGATCTGCAAACAGTGTTGTGTTTGCCGTACTGATTGTAACCTGTCTCAGTATACGTCCTGAGAGACCTTTGGGAGACATTATGAGTGTTGGGGAGGTCTGTCTGTCTACATCTGTGGACTCTGCACAGGGCTGTTGCACAAAAGGCTGTTCAATATATTCTTCCAAAGACCTGCTAATGAGAACATATGCATCAAAGGAGAGTTAGTAGTCAGGGGTTTCCCATGGTGGTCTCTTTCATAACTGATGACTGCTTCTCAACAAGTATATAAAAATATTAGATAGAGTCTTAAGCCTGTGCTCAGGACCAGCTAAGCTTCAGCCATTTGTTCTGACCACTTATGAAAGCTCATGGATTGCTTGCATGGGAGAGCTGTGCCAGAGCTGAGAAAAGCTGTATATGTCTTAACTTGTGTTCTGTGTCTTTCATCTTGTCCATTTCCCACTGGTACTGACTGCATTTAAATCTTTTTAGAGGGCCTGTCATTGTGCTGTCCATGCTGCTAAGGCATGGACAGACAGTATTCTGTTCTTAAATCCTGTTTTGAAAATCTCTTCATAATAAGTCCCTAGAAGAAATTTCTGGTTTGTTTATTTTGATTTGTCCTTTGGCTGTGGCTGGATGCCCAGTCATGGGCCAGAATCAAGCTGGCTGAGTACCAACACAGGGTAATTTGCAGCTCCTTGTACGCGACTTCAGTTCATTTTGGCCGTGCCTCTGCAGCATTTCCCAGAGCCAGTCATCTGTGCTTCAGCTGATTGGGGTGCAAGCTGAACTCTGACTTGCCTGGCTGAGCCTGCCAAGAAAAGCATTAGCTAAGCAGAAACAGTGTGTGGCTGGGGGCAAAGGTGAACATGCATTAAGTATCCACGTCTTGATACTAAAAGGATGCAGCTACAATCTAAACAGGGGAAAGGGCACCCGGCAGACAGACAGCCGCCTGAGGTGACCCAGGAGTGCACAGTTGCTTGCTTGCTGAGAAAGGCCTCTTTGTCTCCCTGCATTAAGCCTGCCCATTTTGAGTGAGATGCAAAACAAATGCAAGAAACCAAACTGTATGGCCTTGATGACATTCTTCTGTTTCTTGGCATTGGTTTGTTGTGCTTAGAAAGGCCTTGAATGTGTGTATCTCATCCCCAGGCAAAACAGAGATATTTGTGCAGCTGGATTGAAGTTCCCCTCTCCCTTATATACAGTCTAGGGGGTGGAGAGGGTGTCTGAATGCTGGGCCACCAGGTGAGAGACAAGATACAGATACTCAAGTTCTTCATCTGTGTTTAGGAAAGAGTGAGGAGCAAAGGTGGGGAGGAGACCTTTAACCATCACCTACCCCCTTATCAGCAGCTGTTGTCTGCCAGTATTTGTATTGCTTCCCTCTTCCCATTTAGATTACAGTTTGACCAGTGTGACCAGTATTTTCAGACCTTATTTTAAACACAGCTAACACAACTCTTGCTTTGGTTGAAGCTCTGCTGTGTCCACGAGTATCTCTCAAACTGACAGGAGAGTGTTTCTTATCGGTTGTAGAGAGATAGTCTTTCCAAAGTTCTTGTACTTCACCTGGATATGTGCAGGTCCTTTTTGTTGTGACAAGGTTTTACCACTTTGATAAATTACTCCTGCCGTAGGGTATAGATAACAAGATAAAATAGACTTCACTTCAAGTTACAGCTGGTTTTCTTTTCAGACTGTATCTATTTCTGTGCTGACAAAATGGTCAGACTGTGGACCTTGAAGTTGTAAGACTGAATGTGAGATACCAGTTCTGTGCTTCCCTGAGCTTTGATAACATTCAAAAGTTTGGATCCATCTTGACTTCCATAACTACCAAATGCCTATTTGGTAAAATACTTTTCTTGAATGGCATGTCCCATATCTGTATGCAGCTTGGCACTGTTTGGTGGGGCTGTTTTGTGGGAACAAATAGCTTCCTACTCCTGCAGTGGGTTCAGATCCAGCCAAGAGACATGTTGGGTGATGTAGCAGTCCTGGCTGCTGTTAGTGAAAGGCAATTCTAGCAAAGTAAATGCTTATTTCTTTTAGTTGCACCCTGCTTTTGTGTCTGGTAGTGACAACCTCTGAGCCCATTGGCATGACAATAGCTTTGGTCACTTTTGGAAATTTGGGACTGTGTGGGCTCAAAACCTTTCATGAGAAGGCTAAGCCCCATATCTGATCTCCAATCCTGTGTCTTACACAGGAAAATTCCAATTTCCGTTTAACTGAGGAGCTTTATAAGTTAAACACCAAGCCTCTTTAGACTCTCTTCTTTCTTTGTTACTCTCGTGTTCATTCCCATTTCAGCTCCCTGAGGGGAAAACCAAATGTTATTTGCAGTTCATTGCTGTGTGTTACATTTATTGCTCCTGTCTTGCTCTCTTTCAGAGCATGAACCCAACCAACCAACTCCTTATCAGTTTGACAGGCTGTGACTGTTGTCCTGGTGACCGGTATAGTTGCACTATCACCATGTACAGAAGGCAGAGAAAGAGATGCCTCAATGTGTGGGTGTAGCTGTGCATGCACATGACATGCCAGGAAGTCACTGGGATACGTGAAGATAAGATCCAAGTCCTGGGCTGTGTATATGAAAGATGAAGCAAAACAAAACGGAGAAGCATGCGAAGTTAATAGCTGTGAGAGAAGAAATGAGGCTGTGTGTGGGAGTAGCAAATGCTCTGCTCTTCTCAGCATCTGATCTATGTGCCCGTAACTCAGTGCAGTTGTATTTCAGAGATACTTGCCCGCCAGCCTGCTGTCTTTTTCTACCCACTCCGTTTCCTCCATTTCTTACTTAGGTTTATGGACACGAGAAAGAATAATGTTAGTAACACTTATGAGTCAGGTTTTCCATCCAGACACACAATGCTTAACCCATTCATACACATGTCCTTGCACAGCGCCAACTCCAGTTCACTAATTACTCACATGAATCAATCAGACTGATTTTTGCAGTGCCCTGTCACAGATTATCTCCTAGGTGTTAACAGAAAGCCCTGCTTTGAGCAGCATATGATCCAAATGGATGCCAAGGAAAAACAGATGGAAAGAGATGGGTAAGAGAGCACAAAGATATAGTGAGATACCATTACTCAGCACATAGGCAACGGTGTCAGCACACCAGCTGCCTAATGCTTGGGACAGCTTTTGCAGGCTACCTGGTGTGTTCTTGTTTTAATGTTGGCTGGTTCATGTAAATGTCATCAGCTTTCAGCCATTGAAGAAAATGTGGGATGGGCTAACCTAAAAAAAAACGTATCCTGGCCTGTACAGGCTGTATGGTATTTAGGGGATAAGAACTTATTCAGCTCTTCTACAGGTGAAAGGATTGTAGAAAACCTGGCAGTTTCTGTCCTGAGTGGGGACAGCTTTAACCTGCTGGGGTGAAAGTGGGGCACAGCCCAGGGGCTCGTGTTCCATGTGTGGTGCTGTAGCTGTGGTTGCTATGGGGAGGGAGTGTCTTGTTAATCCCCAGCCCAGCTAATCTTCCATAGCTAATTGACAATTGAATACATTTCATTTATTGTAAAGTCTGGGCTTTCTGGACACTCATTACCAAGTATAACTCCACAGTCATCAACTGAGTTCTGCACTAGAAGCAAAATCATCTACTGCAGAATGAAGGGAAGACATGTCTGATCTGCTGCCTGTCTTGTTTTGCTGGTATATCTATGCTCCCAGCATTACTCTTGCCTGGGTTTGCTTATCTGTGACCTCCAGAGGCCTTGCAGCAGATAGGATGCTGTGCTAGACCTGCCAAATCTCTGCTCACATCTGTGTATTCCAAACAGCCTGCTTGGGGGGGCATTTCAGTGGCACACATTGCAGACAGGAGCTGATGCAGCAGATCTGTCTCCTCCAAGGCAATGCTTCAGGGCAGGCTGTGTTTCAGGGGTGATCAGCAGGGAGAAGGAATAAGCCTGTGAACAACAGACCCTGTCCCAGGACTCCTGGTGGGATGTACCACATCTGAAGGATCAGAGTTCTGATGACTAATGAGAAGAGGTTTAAATATGTTGTGGGATGGAGCTTCTGTCATATAAAATTCATGGTGCTGGCAGGCCATTCTTAATAAATAATTACCCTCTCCGAGGAAGACACATCTTCATTTCATGCTTGTAAAAAAACAGAAGGGAAAAAGGGATATTTAAAGAATAAGTCTGATGTGATTTTGAACTTGCTCTCCCAGCAGCTTTGTACTGGAATGACACATGAACGTTCCCATGAGGAAAGGTAGAGTGAGGGGAATATTACTTTGGTGAGAGGAGGAGACAACTGGTGTTTTCTATTTAGCAGGAATAGAGGAGTTGCATTTCTCACCTCTGCAACACCTTCAGCTTCTGGGATGGCTCTGTGATCTTCAGAGACATGATCTGAGATGTGATCTTCAGAGACATCATGCACAGTGCTGGTGGGATACAGAGCAGGACTGCACAGCTCTCCTGTTACAGCACAGCTGACAACTCAGCTCCCACTGCACCTTTCCTTCTGCTTTTTGTTGGCCTGTGACTATTGTCCTGCACACATTAGTACTTCTTCTGTTACTAAGAACAGACTGTTTTCCTTTGGGCTACTCATAACTTCCATGGGTGTTGTGAATACTGAAATTTCTAAGATACTCATGAAAGTGCTATGTACCTTGAGCTAGTAAAACATGATTATGCAGCCCTTCCTTTGTAACATGAGTTCTTCCTCTTAAGGGAAGCCAGATAAATGAAGAAGAAGCTATTGTTTGTTGTTGTTGCAAAGGCCTCTTGAGCTAAATGGGACTTTGGCACTAACCACCAACTGCGTAATTTCAGGAGTGTGACTGAAATGGCTGGAAATCTGTTTTTGCTGCTAATGAGTACAGTGAATAATTGTTGTTTTCAGTTCTTTTTTAGGGCAAGATAATAAGATAGAGAATGCATGTGTCAGTGACTGATTAAGTATATGTGGATTAACTGATTCCCCCCAAAATACAGTTGCAGAAAATTCAGTGCAGCATCACATGTGAGCTATTGCAGGTTATGGGTAGCCGAAGTCATCTCTATGTGAGTATTACAAGAGGGATGGAAAAAAAATTGGAAAATTTGGGGTGTAAGAAGTTGTCTTCATAATGTTTGTCCCAAACCAGTGGTTTTCCTGGGAGCAATATTAGAAACATGTGGCATATCAATGTTAGATGATGGGGTAGTGAAGCACGGCTAAGCCTCCAGCCAACTTGTATCAACCAGGCCATTCCAGCTTTCAGAATATGCCCCATGTTCTTAAAACACCCCTGAGCATCCCTGAGTGTCATTATTCCTCTCTGTGTCTTAGACTCAGAGTTGAGTTCCCATGCTATGCTGTGTGTAACAGGGCCTGTCCTTTCCCTGTTCATTTGTGCTGCTTCTGTTTGCAGGAGAACCTGCTGTTACCTGCCATGCATGGAAGATGTAGTTTGTGTAACTCCATCTGCAGGCTGTACCTGGTGCTCTGTGGCAGCATGGTCTTGCTGGAAAAAGAAATGTTATTTAGACTTTAGAAGGTGAGTTGGATTTGTTCCAGTTGTCTTTGCCTGTGTTGATTCTTTTGAAGTTCTTTTTTCCTTTTGTAGGTACCTGGATGGTACCAGCTGTTACCTGAGGGAGGCAGGATGCTTGGGATGGGAGCTTCAGGCTTGAGATCAATTTCGAAGCACAGATGAAAGTAACTTTAATGAATTTTAGTGTCTGCAATATGTTGGTGGATTGCCAAAGAGGCACTTGAGACCCCCTTATTCTGGGGTAGCAGGTCTTGGGGAAGAGACAGAGACAGAAAAGTTGTCAGCAAACACCAGACTCTCACAGCCAGCTCAACCTCTTCCCTTTTTCTGTGGCAGGAGAAGATTGTCCCCATGCTTTCTTCCTCTCAGCAGCACATTCTGATGCTCCTTGTGCAGCTTTGAAACCAAGAAGCAGAGGTGTTTCCCAGCTGTGCAGAAGCTCTGGGCTGGTGGTGGTGTTCTGGGGAGGTTGGCAATGAGGATGCTATGTGGAACTTCCCTCCTGCTGAGGTGACTCACCCTAGCAAGCAACCTTTGCTGGTTCCATTGCACAATCTGCAGCCCATCATGGCCATGAGCCATCAGCCATACAGCTGACCCCATACCTCACAGATCACATACATCTGTTTTTTTTTCATGTGAGTGGAAAGTCAGAAAACCCTTGGGCCTGGAGATGGGTTCCTGACATTCTTTGTTGTGGTTAATTTCTGGAAATTCAGACTGTGGTTCATCTGTTCTGACGTATGCGTGTCAGTGCCTGAGCTACTCATTCTTAATTCCTTCTGCTGCTGATGAAGAGAATGAGGCAGTGCTGGTGTGCTGCTTGACTGGCCTGTTTTAGATATCTGCATTCATTTGAGAGGAAGGACACTGCCTATTCCTGTGTAATTTTTCTGCTTATAGAAGCAATTTGGATTATCCACAGAGATGTAAATTTCTTCACACTGGCCATGCAGTTAGTGGAAGGACTCACCTCCTCAGAACTTGAATAGTCTGATGACTTATGCACTGGGCAAAAACTCTGGATTCCCCAGACAAGACAGGTGAAAGCCAGGCAAGTAGAGATCTGGACACAGAAGGTCCTGGCTGTAGGGGCCCTGTCCCCTGGCTTTTGTCTGATGGATATCTGTCAGGGTTGTGACCACTAACCTGCTAAATGAAAAGCTGGTGCAAGATTTTGGATTTGACTTGTTTTGTTTGTGCCCAGGAGGTAAGAAAAGCTCTCAAAAAATAAACTTGAATCTCTGGACAGGTTTTTTTTTCACTGAACTGGGCTCACCTGCTGACTTTTATCTGTTTGCTGAGATCCTGGGTATATCCTTTCAAGAGTTATGAAGACATGCATTTCCTATTATCCATCCAACTCTGCCTGATTCCCCATCTCCCATAACCCTCAGCATTTTTTCTGCTTCATATCCTCATGCCTTGTTACCTGTGTCACTATCTTGCTTTTTCATATTCTGTCTGTGCTCTTGTCTGGTTTCATTTGCTCATTGCTGCCTGTGCTTTGTTTCACTGACCGCCAAGGCATGCAGCCTGCAAGGTCTCTCAGAAGTCTCAATTTGCTTTTTAAAAAGAGGCCCAAGATCTCAGCAGCCTACCCAAAGAACTAAAAAAAACAAACCACCCCAAACAAGACAGACAGGAAAATATACAGTGGATCTTTCTGTGTGCTCATAAATAAAAGTCAGACAATCACATGCTTTTCTAAAAATAACACTCTTAGCAAGTGTTTTGGTAGGAATAATACTGACCTAGTTTGCAGGTTGCCCACGTGCAAAAAAAAAAAAAAAAAAGTTGGTGAGGAAAACCCATTGCCTGACAGAGTATTTGCATTTGCTGAACCAGATTTGAATTAAGAGGTGGTCAAACAGCTCTTGTAGTCTCTTCTCTGGGCAATACTCTCAGGCACAAGGTGTGACTCTTGAGGATTTCCTGTGCAGGGCCAGAAGCTGGACTCCTTGGAGTATGATCCTTGTGGGTCCCTTCCAAAATTCCATGATTCTGTGACTCTTGGTGGCCTCTCTGGAGGTTTCAGAGGAGAGGGGCTCAGGAAATGCTCACCGGCAGCATGGCCCACAGCAGTCACTTGCCTTCTCTATGGGCTGGATGTGTAAGTTGCACCCATGTGGTACAGTCAGTGAAGGTCCACATAAGCAGAAATCCTCTTCTGCAGCCTCAGTCTGGGATATTCATGTCTGGAGAATGGGCAGGACATCTCTGTGATCTGTGGACCTGAATTTGTGTATGTGAGTTTAGCTTTCTGTCTTTGTCTGTGGCACAGATTGAAAGATTTTTGTGTTGAAGGAAATGACCCTTGACTGCCCAACTCCTACCCGCCCCACAGACTCAGTCTGTGCCCCTGTCCTTGTCCCTGTTGCCTGGACTGCAGCATGGTCCTAGGGCAGGAGCTGTACCTTGGGGCATATGAGAGAGTCATCCCTGTCTGCCAGCTCCTTCTTGTCCCTTCTGAGTGGATATTGTTCAAGTCTTGGCTGGGACCTGGAACTGTTCTCTGTGGGCAGCTCAGCATCAGTGACAGCAGTGACAGCTGCCATCAAGGGCTGGTATTAAGGTAGCATCCCTCACAGTGATGGACACTCTTGGATTTCCTGGAAATAACCCTAGGAGATCACTGTTTTTTTGAGTATTAATGGTTATTATGCAAGATTACTGAGATGGACATGTGCAGAGGCCTGATAGGATCTCAGGGAGATGAGGGCAAAGTGGATCAGCAGCAAAGGCTGGATGAAAAGATCCTTTCCTCAGGGCTGCCTGCTTCCTGCCCCCTGAGCCTACCATTATCTTTACATTATTGAATGCCACAGGACATGCTTCCCCAGTGTTGGAGAGCAGAAGGAGAAGTATCCTGCATGGCTCACCAGCAGGACATGGCATTGCCTTATTGAGACTCCCTAGGTTCCCAGGGCTGATGGATGTGCTGAGCCTGCAGCTGGATCCCACCACCTGGCAGTGCAGGCTCAGCAGCCCTCTCTGGCCCGTTGGTGAACCAGCAGCCCCTGATGCCGGCAGGAGCTGCTCCGAGCTGCCAGGAGCAGCAAGCTGGCTGCCCTGCTGTGTGCTCCTGTCCTCCACAGCCTTGGCACATCACAGCCTCTCCACAGCCGTGGCTGCCTGGCCTGTCTCATGTTCTGCAAGGAGGGCTGTAGCCCTTTCCAGACTCTGAAATGAGAGCAGAAGTGTGCCAGGGAGTGTTCTGTGGGGATATTAATAAAGTTTTTATAGCAAACGGATGCCATTGCTTTCCCTTAAGATCATATCCTCTTCCTTATTTTTCCCATCTCTCATGATAAGTGGTACATGAATTTCTGACTCTGAGCAGCCCTGATGCTGGGAAATGCTCTCATTCAAGCAGAGAATCTAGGTCAGCTGCTCATAAGAATAGATCAAGCCTTCATTGAATGCAGTGGACAGACCTTCAGTTGGACGGGTTTTTCCCTGGCTTGTTTTGTTCATAGTGAGCTCCAGAAGTTGACAGTCATTTTGTGGACAGCAGGCTCAATGCAAGCATTACTGAATCAGTGCATCATAGGGAAAAATTAATACAATGAGGTATTAACTGTGATTTAAAATTTTTTTTTTAACCTAAGATAGGGCCCTCAGTAATGAAGATCTGTATCTATGGTCAAGAGGATCTGATTTGGAAGAACATATATAATAAAAATGGAGTTTGAACTTTTTCTCTGATTTTGCACCTATAAATAACTGCTCTTACATATGGCATCTAATTATTTAATTGTATATGCAGATTAGAAAGTCATTTACATGCTGTCATCAATGACAGCAACTAATAGCACTGGCAGTTATTTCCAGGAACACATGGTAATGCCAAAGGTTTTAAATATTAGTCGGTATCTGCCATATATCTCAATAACTCTCCCCATCTCCTCCTTTCAAAAATGTTAGAATAAATTAATAATCACAAGGAGCATCTGCTTCTTCTTGAAGCTAGTTGCAGAAGATTTGTTGTATTATATATTTTATTTAAAATTGTAGTCCATCTTGGAGTTCCTGATTTATCTGGCTGTGATGGCTCCTTGAGACTGAGAAGGAAGAGGAAAGAAAATGTTAATATGTCTTTTTCTCCATTTTATTTACATATACAGAAGGTGAGGGAAGGCAGTTGCAGACATGAAAGACTCAGGTCCCACTAGTATGAAGTGTGATCCACAGACATTTTTATCCAGAAGATATTTAGCAGCTATTTAGCCTTGCTTTTGTATATACTAAATTGTTACCCATGGTAAGGTTAACAGGAACCAGGGACAGGGAGTGCCCAGTTCATCTTCTTGTCCTCATCAACAAAATCGGTGCAGTCATCTTTTTCCTGATGCAAAACAGGTTTTGAGCATGACAGCTTATATTTTTGCTGCCATTTTACATGTTTTGCCCACAGGTGTAAGGTATACTGAACTCTGAAGAGTGGGGTAGCAGCCAAGGACACCTCAGTGAACATAAACCTTTATTGTGCTTGGATCTCCACATTAAAACCTTATGCAGAAAATACCATTATTGACCCATTTATTCAAACAGACAAACTCCAAGGCAGCTGCCTGAAAATCCAGTGATTCTGTGCTGTGTCAAGATCAGCTGTGTTCACTTGGTTTGCAGTTTGTGTGATTTTCAGAGGTTTTTGTCTCCAAGGCATTTGTTGTCATGTAGTCATGGAGTGTACAAACACCACGCTGCACCACTACTTCCTGCTCACTAAAGAGATGTGTACAGCTAAAAGGCTGAATTTGAAACAAAATGAATTTGTCAGTTACTTAAATTCTTTGTTGCAATGTGGCCTTAATGATCTTTTAACAATCATTTTCAAGAATGGCTCTTGGCTTTTGACAACCAGTAAATAAGAGTGCAGGAGATCTAAGGTCCTAACAGTGCAGATAACGTGCTTGTCCATGATGGGGAAAAAATAGCCATTCCTCTTTAAATTTGCTCAATAATTTAGAAACATCCTTCCAAGTCACCTAATTTTGGTTCCTCGAGGACCACATCTTCCTGCTTTGCAGGGAGAATCTTTCTGTGAGCGATGAAGGCGGCAGAGTGGCTGTGACGGAGGCAGCAGGGGAGCAGTGCCAGAGTGCTGGCAGTTGGTGCTGTGCAGCTCTCGGGAGCTGGGGAGTGTCTCTGGATCTTTATATAGCACTGCCTCTACTCTGCTGAGATGTGGGAGGCATTGGAAAGATGAGATACATCCTGATACTGACAGCAGATGCATGCATTACAAATACTCTTCCCTTTCCTTTACCTTGCCTGTTCCTGATGCTTCCAGGTTTTGCCCACCTCTTGTTTTCTTGGTATTTCTTTCATTCCTGTAAGACAGGAACGGGTCTGAAAATGTTGAAGACCCTGAGGCAGCTTCCACATCATGAAACAGTGCTGAATTTTCTAGTGGCATTTCTCTTCTAAATGCTATTCTGGTTTTGGAAGAAAACCCAGTGATGTAGTGTAAATGTTTTATCACCATGTATTTGGGAAGCCTGCTTTATTCAGCCTGAACTGATGCTAATAAAAATTTAATGCTTCTCTTTGTGCTCATGGAGAGTTCCTCCCCAGGGTATTTTTCTGAAACAGTTTCAGAGGATGATTGGTTCTCTCCTAGGACCCTTTTGGGTGCCTCTTGCTGCAGCAAATCCCTCACTGTAGCTAGCAAGCTCCCGTGCTAAGATTGCAAAAATCTTTCAAAACAGACCTTTTAACGGTGTGATTTGGCACCTTGGATATGCTGAACTTTTCCAGGGCTAGTGGCTAAACCAGGTTACTGCTCACTGTGGGGTGGGAATGGAGTTTTTGCTCAGGTTGTCCAGAAGTGACAACAGGAGACACTTTGTGATGAACATTTCTGAAGATTAAGTGTCTATACAAAAGCTGATCTCTTTTCTTCTAACTCCTCTTCTAAATAACCTGTTCAGCTATACGGATAAGGGTCCTGAGTAGTGTTGTTAATATACACCACCCCATACTAATACATGTATTAATATACTGATATATTACTACATTACATATTTATATGTCAATGTATAATATAAAAATACATACTTATTTAAATATATTGATATATCAATATGCACCATACAATAGCTCCTGTGTCAGTGCAAGTGCATGGGGCATTCCTGCTTTAGTTTGTAGCCAGACACACTTGCAGTGAATGTTGAGGGGAGAAACAGCTGAGTTTTGATATTTTGT